AAGTGCGTGCATGCAAGACACGGGTGAGAGAGAGAGAGAGAGAGAGAGAGAGAGAGAGAGAGAGAGAACGCAATCTAATTAACCACGTCCTCCTCCCCCCCACACACTATCCAGTGTAGTATCTGCTCCGATCAGTTTCATAATGGATCCGTGGTCCAGTGAGACCTTCTTAAAAAAAAAGCATGCGCGCACGTAGAGAGTGCGTGCGTGTGTGTGTGTGTGTGTGTGTGTGTGTGTGTGTGTGTGTGAGTGAGAGAGAGAGAAAGAGAGAGAGAGAGAGAGAGAGGGACCAATCTAACTAACTGCGTGCCCCGCGCCCTCCCCCCCACACGATAGCAGAATTGCGGATCTCCCGACATCTGAGAAATAATATTTTTGGTTAGTGGGAGACAGGTATGCAAAGTGTGACACACACACAACAGGTGAGTTCAAATCCAAACAACAACCAGCGCAGCATACCACACCTGAAAGGAATGCAAACTGGGATCAGGTGTCTGCTTTTTTGTTATGTCAGAGACTCAACCCAAACCCACACCCTGACCCCCACCCAAACCCACACCCCGGCCAACAAACCCCCACCCACCCTGGTTTGCACCTTTTTCTGTTCATTTTTTTGCGGGCGAAGCCTCAACACGAAACATTGTTTGTGCTTAATATTTGTGAGTCCCAGTATCTGCACCTGCTTCTCTCGACACAAAAATTGGGTTCCGAGCCAGCTTTTGTTGGCCCTGTGTGGCATTCTTAGTTCCACAAGGCCCCTGCAGGGCCCGGCCAGTAGGGTTAGGGGTCCTAGGGGTTAGCAGGCTCAGTTTAGGCCAGGTTAGCGGTTAGGCCCTGGTGCGTTGTTTCGTTTAGCGCCGGGCCCCTGGTTAGTGCCGGTGTGAGGAAACCCGGGAAGGGTGGCTATCCGTGGCTGAAGCCAGGGACAGCGGTGTCTGTCACCCGCCGTGCGCGCATCAGAGGTCCTCAGTGGCGTAACAGGGGAGTGGGGTTTTCGATCGCCTGCTTGTCACGCCCCTACTAAAACTTACGGCATTAACGTCCCTTTCCACGGACCGACTCAGCAGACTAACACCATCGACAATGAGAGTAAAAACAACTAATCATACTAACACTGGGTAGATCATCACTGCCTCCAATTACGGGAATCGACAGGGGCTTCCCTGCAAGTTGAGCTTCAATTCCCTTGCACAGTGTTTGCACGGGGCCAATCTGCAATACTTCTGCTTTGCGCTGAAATAACGGCCTCAGCCAATCGTCTGACGGGGATCGAAAAGTAGAAAACAGGCATAGCCATAATGTAATGAACCCCATCTGGCAGATACTCATCAGTCGTCATGCACCAGTAGTCTTGACATCTGCAACAAGTGTCCAATTATCGAGAAGTGATGTCTGAAACAGTATTTCATTACCATTAGAGGAAGAGAGTGGAGGCTGATTAGACAGAGGAGAAGGTGGAAGAGATGATCAAAGATCACACACGAGTAATCCCATCAAACCCCACATCTTCTCTGGGCTGCTTCCCTGTCCACGTCATCAACCAGTATATGATAACAAGTATAATAGTCCTGATCACACAGTAGTGCCACGTGGCACTGTTATATCGTGAAGACCATGAAGACACTGCAGAATACCGTGACGACGTCAACCTCAGGTGAGTACCCAAACCCAATCATCCACAGATCACTATCTCTCTCCTCCTCGCAACCAGTCACCTCATGTAGACAGCGTGGACAATGCCACATCAGCAATCGAAACAGGTGGCATGCGCCACATCATCAATGAAGACCACTGGCATGCGCCACATCAGCAATGTAGACCTGTGCATCCACCACATCATCATGCAATGTAGACCATAGGCAGAGGCACATCAGCATGCAATGTAGACCATAGGCAGTGCCACATCAGCATGCAATGTAGACCATAGGCAGCGCCACATCAGCATGCAATGTAGATCATAGGCAGCGCCACATCAGCATGCCTGGCGCATCATATAGAACGCGCCAGCATGACGCCACAGTCCGCGTCGTTGTCCGCAGTGCCCACGCACGGCCAGTGTCAATGCTAGCGTCTGGTCGAAGTCAAGCCAGCGTCCAAGCAGCATAGCAAGACTGAATGTTGACCACCTCGAAGTCAGTCTTTAAGTAACATTTGA